TGGGGAAGTCACAGGGACAAATATATTAGATGTCCATTTCAAAATTGGAAATTTGGCAAAGTGATTTTCTGGGCCTATCTCGCCTTTGAGAGAGCATGGCAGCCTGGGTAATAACATTTCCACCGTTGTGGCATACCATTTTCAAAAGTAGGCAAGCCAGAGTACAACAAAATGCAGACCTTAAGATGTTTGGTCTAGCCATTTTAACAGAAATGCTGGGCCCATGTAGCGATACCTACTTTTAGTTTTGTCTTTTTAATCACATAAATTGCATTTTCACTAGAAATGTCATAATTCTGGTATTAGTTAGTTCACTAAAACCTCAGTATTTCAATTTAACACTGTCTTCTGAATATAATGGTACCCCCACGTATCATTATTTCAGATTTTTTCTGATAAGTACAGGGCAAAATATATTAGATGCCCTTTTAGCTTGTAAGTTTGGCAAAGTGATTTTCTGAGCCTATCTCGCCTTTGAGAGAGCATGGCAGCCTGGGTAATAACATTTCCACCGTTGTGGCATACCATTTTCAAAAGTAGGCAAGCCAGAGTACAACAAAATGCAGACCTTAAGATGTTTGGTCTAGCCATTTTAACAGAAATGCTGGGCCCATGTAGCGATACCTACTTTTAGTTTTGTCTTTTTAATCACATAAATTGCATTTTCACTAGAAATGTCATAATTCTGGTATTAGTTAGTACACTAAAACCTCAGTATTTCAATTTAACACTGTCTTCTGAATATAATGGTACCCCCACGTATCATTATTTCAGATTTTTTCCGATAAGTACAGGGCAAAATATATTAGATGCCCTTTTAGCTTGTAAGTTTGGCAAAGTGATTTTCTGAGCCTATCTCGCCTTTGAGAGAGCATGGCAGCCTGGGTAATAACATTTCCACCGTTGTGGCATACCATTTTCAAAAGTAGGCAAGCCAGAGTACAACAAAATGCAGACCTTAAGATGTTTGGTCTAGCCATTTTAACAGAAATGCTGGGCCCATGTAGCGATACCTACTTTTAGTTTTGTCTTTTTAATCACATAAATTGCATTTTCACTAGAAATGTCATAATTCTGGTATTAGTTAGTACACTAAAACCTCAGTATTTTGATTTAACACGGTCTTCTGAATAGAACAGTACCCACATGTACAATGTTTCAAGGTTTTTATTATATCACAGGAATAGAACAGTACCCCCACATACACTTTGATCTGGAGGCAGAGAGAGGCAGAGAGATGTTTTATCTCACATAGGGAGTTACTGTGTGAAAAGCTGAGAAGTTAAGAAAAAAAACCTGTGATTTTATTAACCCTTTCAATGCTAATCGCAGCATTAACCCTGTGATTAGTTTTTTGCTTTTTTTTGTGAAGGCACATTTCAAATACTACAATTGTAGTATTTTGAGTTGTTTGGTGTAGCCACTTTATAATGGCTATCGTAAACAGGGACAGGCCAAGGTCAGGGGAATCCAGAAGTTAGAGTAGTTGGTAAAACAAGCCAATGGGTCGGTACAGGCAGCTAACAAAGCATAGTCAGGACAAGCCGAGGTCAGTAATCCAGGGAAATCAAGCAAACACACTGCCAAAGTCCCATACAGAGTGATTTAGAAGTTCAGCTCTGTATGGTAGACTTTGAAACAGTCTGTTATGCAGAGGCCGGGTTTAGATGGACAAGTTGGGCAATAATAACTAGAGTCCTTTCGGACTCCTTTCTTGTAGCAAACACGGCACTTTTTTTGGGAATTTCTTTTACTAGCGGTGGCATGGATTCGGGAAGGGAAGTGTTTGCCACAAAGTCTTTGGAGATCTTCTGATCCCAAAGTGGGATTGGGGGGCTGGGTAAATAATAAATGTGACAAAAGGCTTAGAGTGAAGTCTAGGAAAGGGCAGGGCCTACCTATGACCTCTTTTTTATAGAGGACATAGGCATTGAAAATTGCAATCTGGCTCACGTAGATTGCAATTTTCTTGTACCAGGTCCTAGTTTTCCGGTTCACTAGATAGGGCTGTATGCATTGGTCAGCCAAGTCTACTCCCCCCATAAACTTGCTGTAGTCTACAATGCACTTCGGCTTTTCCAGATGCTCAGTGCTACCTCTCACAGACACTGGCACTGTACTTTCGTCATGCATTGTAGACAGCATGTATACATCCTTTCTATCTGTGAAACGAAGGGCAAGCAACTCATCCTGGCGGAGGGCTGAAGAGGAACCTCTACTGCTTCTGCCTCTTGCCAGGGTTTGGGGGAAACCCCTGCGATTCTTCCTCACTGTGCCACAGGCTAGGGTTTCAAAGTAATATAAATTTTTAAATAACTGTATACTGGTATAATAATTGTCAACCCATAGCCTATATCCCTTATTTAACAAGGGAAGGATTAGATCCCAAACAATCTTTCCACTTGTACCCACAGAATCAGGACATCCTGGTGGGTCAAGATGGCTATCCTTCCCCTGGTAAATGCGAAACGCCCATGTGTAACCAGTACAGGATTCGCATAATTTATAAAATTTAACGCCATATCGGGACCGCTTAGAAGGAATGTATTGCTTAAATAGCAGTCGACCTTTGAATTTCATAAGGGACTCGTCAATTGAAATATCTTTATCGGGGATATAATTTTCAGAAAATTTGTCTGACAGGAGTTGGATAAAGGGCCGAATTTTATAGAGCCTGTCAAACAGTGGGTCATTTCTAGGGGGACACAGTGAGTTGTCATTAAAATGAAGGAATCGCAGCAGTTGCAGATAGCGATCCCTCAGCATAACCTCAGGGAAAAGAGGGGTAGCCAGGATGCGTTGCTTGCTCCAGTAGGACCTGATACTGGGCTTTTTTAACTATACCCATCACTAGGGTTAAAGCCCAAAACCGCTTCATCTCTGCGACATCCGTGGGTCTCCACATATTCCTGCGATTATGATGGGACCCCGGATATGCAGAGAGATACTGCATAGCAAACAAATTTGTTTGCTGAGCCATGAGCTCAAATACATCGTCCGACATAAATAGCTAAAAAAAAACGAATTGCCTCGCAGTCGTCCACTGTTACAGTGATGCCAGGTGTAACAGTGAACGGCGGTATTTCTGGTGCCATCATGTTTGAAGGCACCCAGTCTCCCTCTGGCATTGGGCATTCTGAGCGTCCTCTTGTGAGTGGTGGTGGGGCACCATCACTTGAGGTCTCACTGAGAGGCTCAATGTCAGAGGCAGTGATAGTGTCACTGTCTTGCAGAGTGTCACTATCACTGCCTGCCAGAATGGCATACGCTTCCTCGGCTGAGTAGCGACGTGCCATTCTAGGGGGAAAAAAATTAAGTGAAAAGGGCTAAGGGGCTAATTAATTAACTACCTGCCTAACACCCACTACCCACCCTCAAAAACAAAATAAATGTACTGATCACAGTAAAGGGAGCTGTGATCAGTACTGAAAGGGTTATTTTTAAGTTATGAAAAAAAATAACCCTTAAAAAAAAAAAAAAAAAAAAGTCAGCCTGATCAGAGAGCCCTCTGATCACAGTGATCACTGATATAGTACCGTACAGCAGATATACTGTACAGTACAGTGATCACGGCAGCGGGGAAAGGGTAATGGAGATTTGGGTTGCTGCAACTGACAGAAAGGGTCAAAAAAAATGAGAAATTATTTTTTTTTGACCCCAAATTTTTTTTAAAATAAAGTACAAAAGTACTTGATGCCCTATTCAGCTGATGACAGAAATAAACTGTGATCAGTGCTGAAAGGGTTAAATTAAATATATATTTAAAACTTTTATAAAGTAATAAAACTTTTTTTTTTCACAGGAGCTCTAAAACCAACGATGTCTCTGCCTCTCTCTCTCAGATCGAAGTGAGGTGAGGAGAGGGGCAGAGACAAAGTGTCAGCCAGTGACCTGAGGTCATTGGCTGACACATTCTAATAGTGATCACAGTGACTGGCTGTCACTGTGATCACCTCCTGCAGATTGGTTATTTGACCACAGGGGGAGTGCCTGGGTGGTACAAGCACTCCCCCTACCGATCTGCAGGGGGATCATGGTGGCTGTTACATGTATCAGCCATTAGGCTGATACATGTAACACTGATCGCAGTGACAGCCTGTCACTGCGATCTCAGAAGGTGCAGATCGCGGTCACTGACCCCAGGGGGACTGCCTGGGGGGCCAGGTAAGTCCCCCGACCGCGATCTGCACGGGGGTAGCCGCCGCCACGTGTGTGATCGCAGTGACAGCCTGTCACTGCGATCTCACACAGTGCAGATCGCGGTCACTGACCCCAGGGGGACTGCCTGGGGGGCCAGGTATGTCCCCCGACCGCGATCTGCACAGGGGTAGCCGCTGGCCACGTGTGTCAGCCGATTTGAAATCGGCTGACACACGCTTAAAAACTGATCGCAGTGACAGTCTGTCACTGCGATCAGAAGCTGCAGATCGCGGTCACCGGCCACAGGGGGGTTGCCTGGGGGGCCAGGCAACCTCCCGACCGCGATCTGCAGCGGGAGATTAGAGCCGGCCACGTGGGCGGCCATTAAAGTGAGGGCGTACTATTACGCCCGCCGGCGTTTAGAGCCGGCTCCTGCAGGGCGTAATAGTACGCCCTGCGGATTTAAGGGGTTAAAACACTAATATTTGTGTTCAGTGAAATCTCCCGAGTATAACAGTACAGGTTTTATAGTGCTTGATTTTACTTTTTTTTTTCACATTGAAATTTGCCAGATTGGTTATGTTGCCTTTGAGAGCGTATGGTAGCCCAGGAAAGAGAATTACCCCCATGATGGCATACCATTTGCAAAACTAGACAACCCAGGGTATTCAATATGGGGTATATTGTGTCTTTTTTAGTAGCCACTTAGTCACAAACACTGGTCAAAGTTAGCGTTCATAATTGTGTGTTAAAAATGCAAAAAACAAACAAATATATATGCTAACTTTGGCCAGTGCTAACTTTCCACCTCTCACTAAAATTCTTAATCTCTCTCTCTCCTCTGATATATTTCCATTACCCTTCAAACATGCAACTGTAACCCCAATTCTAAAGAAGCCCAATCTTGACCCTAACTCCCCATCCAACTATCATCCTATCTCGCTACTGCCTTTTGCATCCAAGATCCTTGAAAAAATTGTGTATGTGAGATTGACAGACTTGCTCGAGTCCAACTCTCTGCTAGACCCGCTTCAGTCTGGTTTCTGCGCTAAGCACTCTGTGGAAACGGCACTGACCAAAGTATCCAATGATATACTCGCTGCAAAATCTCGTGGTCACTACTCTATCCTAATTCTCCTTGATCTGTCTGCGGCTTTTGACACTGTTGATCATCAACAGCTTCTTCTCATCCTCCGCAATATTGGTCTACAAGATATTGCTCTTTCCTGGTGCTCCTCATACCTCACTCAGCGCTCTTTCAGTGTTTCTTTCTCTGGCTCTGCTTCTTCTCCCCAACTCCTCTCTGTTGGTGTCCCCCAAGGTTCAGTCCTTGGTCCACTACTGTTCTCCATCTATACTGCCTCCCTTGGTAAACTCATTAGCTGCCAACATAATTTCTATGCAGATGACACGCAAATCTACCTGTCCTCTCCTGATCTCTCCCCCTCCCTCTTGACTAGTTTCTCTGACTGCCTCTCTGCTGTTTCTAACTGGATGGCTGCCCACTTCCTTAAACTAAACTTGACCAAAACTGAAATTCTGGTCTTTCCTCCCTCAAGTGTTGTTACTCCTGTGTCTTTCTCCCTCCAAGTCAACGGTGCTACCATCATCTCCACCACACAGGCTCGCTGCCTAGGTGTTCTCTTTGACTCCGACCTCTCCTTTAAGCCTCATGTTCAATCTATCGCCAAATCCTGTCATTTCCATCTCAAAAACATGGCGCACATCTGTGACAGACCCATCCGTATGGACTAAAGTTACTGTGTTCGTCTGTTTTGCCGTTTGCATGAATTTCCCCATTCGTATGCCTTGATTAAGGGAATGTATTTTTTTTTGTCGAACGGAACTACCGAACGGACGGCCACCCAGAAGAGAAGTGTGCTGCTGGTTAACCTATTGATCCCAATTAGAACGTTGCAGTTAACCACAGACACTTCTCAATTAAAACCGAATACCGGGTGGTCGTCGTTCGTATGTCGACCACGAGGCGGCGGCCATTTTAACTATGCAAAAGCCCAGCGGTGTTCGACGATTATTTCATGGAACTCAAAACGGACACTTTTTCAACCGAACACCGCTGAAGCCGTCGACCTCCCCTTCTCAATCGACAAAAGCATACGAATACCGGCTGTTCGGGAGATTTAACAACACGAATTTAACCCATATAGCCTTCCCATGGAGTCAATCGCATACCGAAGAACTGTAATAGACTTTGACTCCATGGCGATTGAACTGTGTGTATGGGATCTGAGCGCTATTCGTCAATAATATGCACTCAGATCCAGGCTATCTGGGGATGTGTTATACGAATGCAATACGTTCGGCAGTTATAAAGTTCTGTATTTTAATGTGTTTTGTAACTTTGAGTTAAAATGGCGATTTGCCTCCGCTCTGGGAGATAATTGAATTACTTCCCAATTATCTCCCGAGCAGAGGGGAGGAAACTGTGATGCATGCTGGGAATATTGTGGGGATGTATGTCCGAAATGTCCCCATGTCCTTCTGTAATTCCAGTCTCCCATTTGGTCCTCTAGGGGAGTGTCCACCAAGTGGGAGACCTGCATAAATACGGGCAGGTAGCCCACAGTAAACTCAGTTAGTGTTTTACCCTCAAAGCGGAGCTTGGTCTCGTTATTGGGGGGGGGATTTTATTACCGGCGTCTAGAGACTGCTTATTGGGATTATTTGCCGCTTGGAAACTATTGCCGTTCGGCTGCTATTGGCGATTCGTGCATTTGGAGCTCGTGAAGGGAAGGAGCAGTACAGGTACCGTTCGGGAGGTTGGAGTGTTCCCTAGCTGGCGGTTCGCATGGTTATACTGCATACGCTACCAGACCACATTATTGTGAACGGGGAGCATTCACTAAACGGTGGTTTGTGCATTTACTACTGGAGGTACCATAACAACATCCACCCCTATTTAACGCCAGATGCGACTAAGGTGTTGGTCCATTCCACTGTCCTTTCTCGCCTTGAGTACTGTAATCCACTTCTCAGTGGTCTTACGTACTCCCAACTAGCGCCGTTACAGTCCATAATGAATGCGGCGGCGAGGCTCATCTTCCTGTCCGCCCACACCTCCCATGCCTCACCCTTCTGTCAGTCCCTACATTGGCTTCCTATAAAATATAGAACTCAATTTAAAATTCTGGTTCTTGCTTTCAAATCTCTACATAATGCTGCTCCCACCTATCTATCCTCCCTTATACACAAGTATGTCCCGTCTAGGCCCTTACGATCTGCTGAAGACTTACGTCTATCTTCTGTCCGTACTCCCACCTCTGATGCCCGCCTTCAAAATTTCTCGAGGGCTGCAACGTTCCTGTGGAACTCGCTTCCCTCCTCCGTTAGATGCTCACCCAGTTTCCACTCCTTCAAAAAAATCTTTAAAAACCCACTTCTTCATAAAAGTGTATCAATTAAATGGTTAATAGCTCCTGACTGATTCCTCTTCTGCAACTGTCACTAGTCTAATACTATCCTTACCTTTTTGTGTCATTTTACCCCACTCCCTCTAGCATGTAAGCTCATTGAGCAAGGCCCTCAACTCCTCTGTTCCTGTGTGTCCAACTTGTCTGGTTAAAACTACATGCCTGTTCGTCCACCCATTGTAAAGCGCTGCGGAATTTGACGGAGCTCTATAAATATAATAAAAATTAATAAAATGTTTACATGTGAGGTGTGATTCAGAGATTTGACAGATAACAGTGTTACAATGTCACTATTGATAAATTTAAAAAATATATATTTTGATACATATATATATATATATATATATATATATATATATAATTTCCTACTTGTACTTAAAGTCCTATAACTTGCGCAAAAAAAGCATTTAACATTTAGCAGTTTTTTGCATTACCTTTTGTAGATAAGTAAAATATTTTTCAAGTAAAAGTCCAAAAAACATGTTTGTTTTTAAATTTACCATTTTTTTTTAAAGTAAAATATATGACATGATACAAATAGTGGTATGTAAAGAAAGCCCTTCTTGCCCTGAAAAAAACAATATGTAATTTGTATGGGAACAGTAAATGAGAGAGAGGAAAATTACAGCTAAACACAAACACCACAAAAGTGTTGAAAGAGCCATGGTACTTAACGTACAACATGGCCAAAACAGTCCGGTCCTTAAGGGATTAAGTGTACCTACTTTAATAGTAATAAACATAATAGACTATAGAAATAAAGAGATTAATTTGATATGGGCTGTAGTATAATAAAGCAGCAATAAGGGTTACTCTCCCTTATCCCTCTCTTAGCTCGGTATCTGCAGAGTTCTGTTAAAGCTGCTGCAAGTAAAGGAGATAAGATACATATCTTATATATGGAGATAAGTTATATCTCTCCACATCATGTGTAGAAAGATAGGAAGACAAAACGATATTCTCTCTCCTCCTCCTGGATTTCCCCTGCTGGAAGGCGTCGTAAGATAGATTAATAAAAGATATATACTATCACTGTATTGATCAGGAATGGAAGTTGTATGAATGTAGTGAACCCTTCTCAGCTCAGGACTAAATGTCTGATCTGCTGGGGAACGTATGGAAGTTTTAAGATGCAGGGAGGGAGATTGAGATGGGTCGGAAAACAGCAGGGGTATGAAAAGTCGAATTGTAAATATCATTAAAATTTTTGTCAATTAATTCTAAGGGACTTAATTTTAATTGTGTCCCAAACTCTGCTATAGACAGAAGCCATGCTAAGAATGTTTGTCATGTATTCATCCGCTTATAAAAATGTGGTTAATGACATTTACTGTGCCGAGCAGCAACCAAATCCACAAAAGGGTTAATGCTGAGCAGCAATTATGCAAATGGAAACCTGGTAACTGCTTTGGGGTCAAAGGCCAGTTACAGCCTATCAGATCTAGAGGAGGGGTATTTAGGCCCAGTTCTCATCCTGCTCAGTGCCCTGTCGTGGTTTCCCTTGTGGTTGTCCGAGAGCGCGTTATTGATTCTGGTAATTCTGGTTATTTGACTTTGGCATTGTTTTTGACTTCTCTGTTTTCTGGCATCCCTGACTCCTGGCTTTTCCTTATCGTTGTGTCTCTTTCTGTTTCCCTTGACCTCGGCTATTTCTGACTATTCTTTGATACGTTAGTCCGGCCATTCTAAGGTCCGGTATATGTTACCTATCAGTCCTCTGTGTTACACAATTCTACGTGCTGGATCATTCTGTAATCCTGACATTACGAGAGGGCCATAGATCCTGTAGAATTGTGTAAGCACATAGCTGCTTGCGAAAGGAAACTAGAAGAGAATGATCACTGCATGGATCAATTTGCCCAGGCTTTCAGTACCTGTACAGCGCATCTGCAACCTGCGGCTGCTCCTACTGTCTCACCTCCGCCTTGTGTACCTCCGCCTATAGTATACAAGGCACCAACTATCTCTCTATCTCCTCCTCTGCATTTTGATGGTAATTTACAAGAATGCCGGGGATTCCTTAACGGGGATTCCATAACGGGGATTTACTTCATTTTGAGGCCTCACCGGGATCTTTTCCCACAGACAGAGCTAAAATTGGTTACCTAATGAATCAATTAAAAGGTAAAGCTTTAGCTTGGGCCAATCCATTATGCGAGAGTAATAGGAGTGTGGCACACAATTACCACAAGTTTATTACGGAATTTAAACTTACGTTTGAACCATTAGGCAGGGAGGAAGACGCCTCTACTGCCCTGATGCATATCAGACAAGGGAACCGGTCTATCTCGGAGTATACTATATGTAACGGAGCTCCCTGTACTCCGACCGAGTACCCTCCGTTGATGGATGCTCCTAGCGCTTCCTGAGGACTCCAAACACTGCAGCAGACACCACAACCACCGCAGACTCCACAACCGCCGTAGCTTAACTGGAGTCTCGCCGTCTTCCTTCCACCCTGGATCAGCTTCTGTCCTCCAGGACCGTGTGGGGAAGACCTCTCCTCCAGGAGAGCGTAACAGGAACAGCTCTTAAAAGAGCTAAGTGATTAAAAGCTCAGGGGAGTATGCAGAGCATAGCAATCCCCAGTGTGATATAGCAGTTCCCTCCAATAACGAGACAAGGCTACGTATAGAGGGATCAAGAAGAACTGTCAAAACCTTTATTTCCCTTGGGACCAGCCAATAGGGTCACCACAATAACATTGTTGTGAAACATCAATAAAATCACAAACAGTCAAACCATATCAAGCAACACACAGTGACTTATCACAACACAATGGCACATTTTTAAAGGGGTGGGGGGAGACAATATTTAACAGTAAATATCTCACCTGCCTGCAGAATTAGCAATATGCAAATCTACCCGAATATGCAAATGAACCAGTCTTGCAATTCAGGTAGTGCATATTGCTGTTGCTACCAACAAAGGGCACTAGACCAGCTCCATAGCCAAACCCACCTAGTTGGTAGCAAACCTCAGCAATACAAGAGAGCAGGCAATACATTACTCAGTACACACACACACACTATAAACAATTACATTACACACACCCTGCACCTATAATGGGTACAGGGTGACTAAAACATAGGATAAATAAAGCAGCCCACATAAATAGTCTGTCTGAAGGTAGACTAGGGGCTTTAAAGCCAGATAGATGAAAGAGTCATAGTCACAGGGGAGGAGACTGGCAAGAAGGCCTCTCCAGGACCAAGTGGCGAAGGGCACTTCGTCACATATCTCCCCTTCGGGGGGAAGACTAACCAGGCACCTGACTTTCTGTCGGTCAGTGCCTAAGTTAGTCGAGTCACCCACCGACCATAAGCAAGTGCCAGAGTAGCCCACCCACAACAAACAGTTATTAGAGCAGCCCACCCACAGCAAACAGTGACTGCACCTGGGTATTCCTCTGGGGTGATGGGGCAACACGCTGTGGGGACTTGCGGGGCAGAGGCCAGCGGCGCTCTGTCCTGATGCCAGCGCTTCTGCTGGGAGGAGGGGGGTGCAGGCCAGTCCTGTGACAAGGGGATCGGTAGGGCAGAGGCCAGAGGCGGTCTGCCCTGATGCCAGCTCTTCTGCTGGTATAGCCTGCAGGACATCAGGCTCTGGACAAGGGACAAAGGGAGGGCAGAGGCCGACTGCACTCTGCCCAGCTGCCAGCTCTTCCGCTGGGGGCTTGGGACATAGTCCGGCTCAGTAGCCAGGGGAACGTGGGGGTCAGTGGGGGTTAACATCTCCCCTGTTAACCCTGGGGCCAAGTTAGGAGTTAGCTGGGGAGGGGAATTCGTACTTACCCCCTCCTCCTGTTGTCCCTGTGAGGGTAGTTGGGGATCTGGACAGGCTGTCCAGCATCCCTGTAGGTCGGGCACAGAGACCACGGTCCCCTCTGCGCCATCTGGGAGATTGGGGTCTCCCCTTGGTAGGGTAAGCTGCCGCTGGGGAGATAGGGTGCTGTGCTCCTCTCCCTGAAACACAGGCTGCCGCTGGAGAGGGAGACCGCCTGTCTCCACTCCCATAACATTGTCCCGCTGCTGGAGAGAGAGACCAACTGTCTCTGCTCCCTGTAGGACACACTGCTGCTGGGGAGGAAGGACGACACCTTCGGCTCCCTGGAATTCGCACTGCCGCTGGGGAGGAAGGACGACACCTTCGGCTCCCTGGAATTCGCACTGCCGCTGGGGAGGAAGGACGACACCTTCGGCTCCCTGGAATTCGCACTGCCGCTGGGGAGGAAGGACGACACCTTCGGCTCCCTGTAACTTGCACTGCCGCTGGGGAGGAAGGACGACACCTTCGGCTCCCTGTAACTTGCACTGCCGCTGGAGACTAGGTGTCCATATCCTCAACCTCCACAGTTGTCGCTCAAAGGCCATTGCCGCACTGTTCTCAGCACTCAACTGGCGCATTACTTGGTGGACCACCTCGTTCGAAAGGTCTGGGCCATAGCAGACCAACCGCCTCTTTACCTCCTCAATGTAAGCGTCGTCCTCGTAGCGACGTATCATGTTGAGGTGCTCTTCGCAGGGCTCTATCCATCCCTGCTCCATGCTGCTGTAGTTAGGGATGCTGCACAGTGGCTAGCGTTGCCCTCAATAACCTCTCATACGATACCAGTGTCTCCGAGCTGCTTCTCCTCGCACTAGGACGCCATCCCACCGCTGCCACCAATGTAACGGAGCTCCTTGTACTCCGACTGAGTACTCTCCGTTGATGGATGCTCCTAGTGCTTCCTGAGGACTCCCAAGCACTGCAGCAGACACCACAACCACCGCAGACTCCGCAACCGCCGTATCTTGACTGGAGTCTCGCCGTCTTCCTTCCACCCTGGATCAGCTTCTGTCCTCCAGGACTGTGTGGTGAAGACCCCTCCTCCAAGGAGAGCATGTCAGGAACAAGCTCTTAAAAGAGCTAAGTGACTCAAGCTCAGGGGAGCATGCAGAGCATAGCAATCCCCAGTGTGATTATAACAGCTCCCTCCAATAACGAGACAAGGCTACGTTTAGAGGGATCAAGAAGAACTGTCAAAACCTTTATTTCCCTTGGGACCAGCCAATAGGGTCACCACAATAACAGGAGAATTTGCAACAACTATACATAAGATTGATAGAAACTTAAAGGCAACACAAGATTAACTTTGATGATAAATTATGACTGGATATAAAGATAATTAGACAACAAATAAACAATAAGACACTAGAGCATATTAATAAAAATATCCAATGTATAAAACAAAAGTGGTATTACAGTAAAAACAGAAATGGTTAATTCTTAACAAATAAATGAAAACATAATTTAACAAAAAATAACAAAAAAGATCATTATAGCCAATCAAAAATATCTATCGCCACAAAGTATTTCTAATGCCTTTCGAAAATAGTATTCTGATGTATATAATATTGCTTCAAATAAACAATCTAGTCAACAAATTAATATTTTCCTCTCAAAGATTAATCTCCCAAAAATAACTAAATAGGATCTAGACATCTTCAATAGACCAATATCGCTAAGGTTTTATCAAATCGGCTTAAGGATCTAATACCATCCTTAATTCACGGAGACCAAGCTGGGTTCGTCAGAAACGGAGGAGCATCTGATAATATCCGTAGAGTCTTTAACCTCATTTCATAAAGTCAACACTAAAATATTAAAGCAGCCTTTTTGGCCTTAGACGCCAAAAAGGCCTTTGATAGCTTAAATTGGCAATTTATGGACCTGGTATTACAAAAATTTGGTATACTAGGCAACTTTAAAGATAGCGTTCTGATCCTATACTCAAATCCAACAGCAAAGATTATTGGCCTGGCTATGGAATCAAAATATTTTTACATTAAAAATGACACCAGGCAGTGATGCCCATTAGCTCCCTTGCTCTATATTTTAGCTATAGAGCCTTTAGCGACCCTAATTAGACAAACCGAAGTAGTGCAGGGAATAATGGTCAGCCAAGTAGATCATAGGGCTATTTTATTCACAGACGACGTCCTTCTGAACCTGTTTAACCCCCATGAATCTATACCAGTAGTGATAGAATTGATAAAGGAATATGGTGAATTCTCTAATCTAAAATTAAATATAATTAAAACAGATTCTGAAATACGGGGTACTTCCTACAGAAATGGCTCAGCTCAAATATATGTACCAATTTAACTGGGACGCTAGAACTATTAACTACTTAGGAGTAAAGATCACTCTATAGATGACCTTTTTGATTCTAACTATTTAAGTCTTTTAGAGGGATTTAGGGATTTTTTTATGAAATGGGGTAAAATTGAATTATCCTGGTTGGGCAAAAATATATCAACTAGAGCATACTTGCTCCCAAAGATGATATATTTGCTCAGAACAATCCAATTTAGAGTGAGTAATAAAATCTTGAGCTCCTTTCAAACTGCCGTTTCTAGGTTTATATGGTTTAACAAGAAACCTAGAGTCTCTCAGAAAAAGCTTTAATAAGTGGGGAAAAATGGGGGCCTGGGATTTCCAGATGTATTTGCCATCCATGACGCCTGTATGTTAGCCCATTTTTTATCATGGGATAAAAATAGTAATTATGTTAACCTATGCATGGATATTGAAGCTTGAGTTCAAATCAGATATACTCTATGAATGCTTCTGGATAGATAACCGATGCCCTTTATATAAAATCACAATGAATCCAATCATTAAATCGACCATGGATACAATCAAAAATACAATCAAGAATATTAGAAAAGAAAATTAAATCTAACAAACAGATTGGCTTTATCCTCTCCCTTAGATGTCTCAGAAATTAACGTTAAAGATTTAAATCTTAAGAATTGGAGAAATTATGGAATCAATCAAGTATTGAATATTTACACTAATGGCAATATAATTCCTTTTCAAGTATTGCAAGCTTATTATTCTCTTGCTCCAAGTGAAGTGTTCACGTACGAGAGTTAAAAATTATCTGGACTCAAAACGAATTATAAAACACAACAATATTATTGACTTCTTAGATATTCATAATTCTTTTGAAGAGAATATCTTGTTCACTCAATTTCCTTCGTAGCACCAAAACTTTCATTAAAGAGCCCCCGATAATAAAGTGGGAATTGGACCTTAATAAATCATTTGATAATCAATCATGGAAACGGAGTCTAAAATGGGTTAAACAAAGTACACATTGTGTAAATCTGATCAAGCTTTATTATACAGTACTATACAGGTGGTACATGGCACCTACAAAATTATACAAAATATATAGTGATCATTTGACAGATGTTGTGTCAAATGATTCGTACGTGAACACTTCACTTGGAGCAAGAGAATAATAAGCTTGCAATACTTGAAAAGGAATTATATTGCCATTAGTGTAAATATTCAATACTTGATTGATTCCATAATTTCTCCATTTCTTAAGGTTTAAATCTTTAACGTTAATTTCTGAGACATCTAAGGGAGAGGATAAAGCCAATCTGTTTGTTAGATTTAATTTTTTTCTAATATTCTTGATTGTATTTTTGATTGTATCCATGGTCGATTTAATGATTGGATTCATTGTGATTTTATATAAAGGGCATCGGTTATCTATCCAGAAGCATTCATAGAGCATTCATACCATTTACAAAAGTATACAAACCAAGGTATTACAAATGAGATATGTCTAGTTTTTTTTAGAAGTCACAGTCACAAACACTGGCCAAAATTTGCGTTCAAACTAGTTTTTTGCATTTTTCGTACACAAAAAAATATGAACGCTAATGTTGGCCAGTGTTTGTGACTAAGTGGCTACTAAAAAAGACTGGACATATCCCATTTGTAATACCTTAGGTTGTCTACTTTTGCAAAATGTATGCTATCATGGGGTAATGATCATTCCTGGGCTACCATTTGGTCTTAAAGGCAACATAACCAGTCTGGCAAATTTCAATGTGTATAAACTGAAAAATGTAACATGCAATATTTGACCATGTAACTTTCCAAAACACCATAGCACCTATACATGGGGGGTACTGTAGAATACTAATATGTGTACTTAATTGCAGTAACAGCTAACAGTATTATGACATTCACAGTTAAAATGCCATGCAAAACTAAAAAAAAAAAAATTTCTTAATTTCTTAAATTGTTTTACATTTTATTCATATTAAATTATGTTTCATATATAAATATTTCATATGAAATAAAAGCCCTATTTCTCCTGAACTATATTACATATAATAAGTGTGGGTGCATTTAATATGAAAGAGGTGAATTACGGTTGAACAGACTTAAAACCCAAATTCAAAGTTTTGTTTACATTTTGTTTTGATCTGAACTTGTATTATTATTTTAATATTTATACAGCACCGACAAATTCCGTAGCACCTTACAATGGATGGACTAACAAAGGTGTAATTGTAATCAGACAAGTTTGACGCACAGAAACAGAGGGGCTGAGGGCCCTGCTCAATGAGCTTACATGCTAGAGGGAGTGGGGTAAAGTTACACAAAAGGTAAGGTAAGTATTAGGGAAGTAGATTGGTAGAATAATATTCAATGAAGACTTAGTGTGTTTTTTTTTGGAGCCATTAACAGTTTAATGATACGTTTTTAAGGATTTTTTGAAGGAGTGGAGACTGGGTGAGCATCTAACAGAACAGGAAGGGAGTTCCACAGGAACGGTGCTGCCCTAGAGAAGTCTTCGATATGAGCATCAGAGGTGGGAGTATGAACAGAGGATAGACGCAGGTCTTCAGCCAAGCGTTGGGGCCTAGACGGGACATAGTTGTGTATTAGGGAGGATAGATAGGTGGGAGTAGCATTATGTAGAGATTGAAAAAGCAAGAACCAGAATTTTATATTGAGCCCTATATCTTACAGGAAGCCAGTGTAGGGGCTGACAGAGGGCGTGGGAGGTGCGGGCGCACAGGAAAACGAACCATGCCACTACATTCATTATAGACTGCAGTGGGGCAAGTTGAGAGCATGTAAGACCGCTGAGAAGTGGATTGCAGTAGTCAAGGCGAGAGAGAACAGTGGCATGGACCAGCACCTTAGCCGCATCTGGCGTTAAGTAGGGGCGGACGCGCTTAATGTTTTTGAGATGAAAGCGGCATGAGGGGTGAAGGAGAGGTTGGAGTCAAAGCAAACAACTAGGCAGTGAGCCTGCATGGTGGAGCTGATGGAAGCACCATTAATGTGGAGGGAGACAGAAACAGGAGTAGCAACACTTGAGGGAGAAAAGACCAGAAGTTCTGTTATGGAAAAGTTGCACTTAAGGAAGTGGGCAGCCATCCAGTTAGTAATAGCATAGTGTGGTTATGAAGGTATTGTAACGGAGTCTTACCTGATAGGGAGTCCAGCTTGCAGAGTTATACGCTCACCCTTGCAAAGTAGACACAGACCAGGGTGACCAGGTAAGACACCACCTGGCCTGTGAGTCTGTGCACGGGGGCTTTCCAGGAAAAGTGCTCCAAGTCTCAGTACAGCAGGGATTAGCAGAAGCGTGGTCAAGGGAAGCCAAAATTAGGGAAGCCAGAGGTCAGAGTAGTCCAGGAGGAAAGCCAA